TGACCTAGTGAAGTAGTCAGATTGTCAACTCTCCAAGTGTTAGGTTGGGTGTTCAAATCCTATTAACAGCAAAAATTTGGATAATTACCTATGTAATATTTGTATTATGACAACTGTTACTAATAATTAAGTTAGGATATCTGTAATAATAGTCACATCAGCATAACTGGCAGGTCATGGAACATCTGTGTAAGTATAGCATTATACAGAAAAATGCAAACTGACAAATTGGGTGGTGCAAATACTAGATAAGTCTTGTAATTATGTAAATCTGTTGAAATTGGGTAACAAGAAGTCTATTTAAGAAGACCCAAGTAGAAAAGTAGCTGAATCTTTAATGGCCTTACTGTAAAGACTAGCCTGAAAAAACAGATACCAAGATCATAGTATCTGGTCATAGTAGCCAGACAGACAAGAACCTCCAAGTTGGGAGTCTTGGAGATACTACCAACTAGGCTGCCAGAATAAATTAAAAAAAAGGATATCGAGCTAACCTGATATATTGATGAACTGGTCATAGTCCTATATGGGCTATCTGAATTAAGAGTTTGGTAAAAAGGCAAGTGAAAAGACAGAAATATACTAAAGTACTGAGATTATGCTGTGAAGTAAATACTGGAGTCTAAGTGAATTCTACAAAGACATAACAGGTTAATGATTAGCTCTGACCACAAGTGTTGGTTCTGCTATAGTGATATCTAAATCAGCTATAAAAATGGGTATATAAGGCTCTGAGTAGTTTACCTTGAGGATAAATTAGTTCTAAGGTTGAGACAATGATCTGAGCATCTGGATATGACCCAATAAGTTAATACAGGTTACAGATTCAGAGGATTTAAAGTAGAATACTCAAGCAGAGATGTTAGGTATGGCAATTAATGAGGAACCTTCAGGCAAACTCCTTAAATAGGTAATATAGAAAAGTTATATATGTAGCCAATTGTACTCTCTTTTGTAGTAGTTCATTGAATTACAATACTAATAAGTGATTAATAAAAGTCAAAAGACCAAAGAGGTCATCTTAATATCAAAAAAAAAATAAAAAAATAATTATAATCATTATTAATAAGTAATGATTTGTATAAAATTTTATTAAATTTTCTTAAACTTTAAATTTATTTTTCTTAATAACTAGTAGTTCAAATTGGTTAAAATTTTTACTATAAATATTATATATATTTAACTATATTATATTAATTTAGATTGATAGTTCTTGAGAAATTACTTGTAAATAATAGTTAATTTTTTTTAAAAAAACAACTATCATTTATAAGTGATTTCTTAAAAACTATTAATCTAAATTAGTTAAAACTTTAGTATAATATAGTTAAATATATATACTATTTAAAATAAAAATTTTAACTAATTTGAATTACTAGTTATTGAGAAAACTAAATTCAAAGTTTAAGAAAATTTAATAAAATTTTGTTATATATCATTATTAATCACTAATGATGATACTCAGCAGGAGTGCTATATCATTAGTAATCTAGAGATTACTAATAATATATATTATTTTAAAAATTTTCTTAATGAATTATGTACATAAGGTTGTAAATATTTGTGAATCATGATAATAGCACTTTCTGCTAAGCTTTTAGAGTTAGTTCAGAAGTAAATAAATAAAAAGTTAGTACTGCTAGCAATTTTGGTTTTAGTAATATAGACAATATAAATATTATTGTAAAGACAATAATTCTGCCAAGTTTCTCTTTTAGTTACTGTATTAAAACCTTTAATATTGTATATACAAATATTTAAAAAAAGGCTATATAAAAATTGTATTAATGTAAATACTTGTGATGTTATATGATCATTAAGAAATAAGTTAGGTAAAATAAGAATAGGATTAAAAAGGTTTGATCTAAGAGAAAATTTATAAAAAATAAGAAGAAGATAAGGATGAATAATAGTATAATTAGTTAAGAAAGAGTTATTTGAAAGATATATATGAGTTTTGTAATAGGTATTGCTAACAGAAAAAGTAATGCTAGAGACAGTATTATTATAGTTATGTTTGTTAATATGTTGTATAAGAGAATAAAGAGTTTGGTCATGAGAAAGAAGTGGTAGATTGTAATAAAAAAGGAATTTGTTAAAACATAAAGTAGATATGGATATTATGGCATAGTTAACTTTAATCATAATAAAACTTTAAATAAATTATATTAAAAATTATAAAATTTTTTTGAAATAAGATAATGTGACTTTTAAAATAATAATTTTATTTAAAATTAAAAATATTTTCAATATAAAAAAAAATTTTTACTAAGATTGAATTAAATCTTTTTAAAATTTATAATTTTAGATGATTTATCAAAAATGATGCATACATATAAAACAGGAGGAACTGTTAATATTACACATTAATCCTTCACATGATGTAGTCAATCAATAATAAATTATTTATTTTGTGTTTACTCTAAAATCTATGTTATGGATATAATCTCTTGCCCTGTCGTTCATGCAGGGTAATCAGTTAAACTGAAATTATTTATATATAACTTTAAGTGTAATGGATATAATCCCTTACTTAGTGCAATATTAACGGTTCCTTCTGTTTACATATAACAATCATCTAATTTTTTTTTTCCTCTCTCTAATATATTGTCTTTCTGCTTTAGTATGTTCTAATTTTTCCTTCTTTTGTGCCCTAGCCATTCATTTTTGCACAGCAGCCTCTTTTTTTTGTTTGTTCTCATTAGCTTTTCTCTCAGCTTCCTCCTCTATATCTTTTAATAACCTCAAGAATGTTTCATTTGTAAGAAGTTGGGAAAATGACATAGTTTTCCTTTTTTTTCTTTTTTGTAAACTTGCTTCTGGCTGGTTTACAGCTTGATCTGAATTTTCAACTGACTGTAGAGTATGAGGAAGAGGATACTTAAGTGCTAAACATAAAGAGCAAGTGCCAAGGCTTTTAAAAGTTTTTAATTCATCTTTTGTCACTTTCAACTCTGCTTCTAACTGCTCAATCCTAATATTAAGTGTTTTAATCTCAGTTTTTAATAACTTTTTTTTATTAGAGATAAGTGTAGAATTTGGATCTAGGTTAGAAGAAGCTTGTGAAGATGAAGTAGAAGGTTGTAAAGATGAAGTTGGTATAGAAGGTTGTAAAGAAGGTTGCATTGGTAAAGTATTAAACTGTTCTGTTGTCAGAGAAGAATTAAGATAGTTAGGACTAATTGTATTTGGGTTAAATGATCAGATTCCAGTTGCTTTGAAGGAATTGCAAATAGCCATAGGTGTGTAAGTTTTAATATAAGCTAAACCAAAGACCTTAGCAAATGTATGTTTGGTAACTAATTCGCCATTATTATTCAAGCGAAGCTGTTTACAACCTTTATCATAAGCTTGTTTGAGATGAGTGAAAGGAAGTTCTGCAGGTTGAAGTATATAGGTTGTGTGGAGCAGAAATGCATAAAGAAGAATGTTGTTGTTGTAGCAAAGACTAACACAAGCATAACTAATATGGCTTTTATGACCATCAAGAATTAATAAAACAGGGCAAGTAGATGGAATTGAACAAATGAAATGTTTGATATATTTTTGAAAAAGGCATTTTTTCATATAGCCGGTATCTGTAAATTCCATAACAGAACCTGCAGGTACACCATTTAAGAGGCCAGGAATCATGTGCTTTCCTTTGTAGATAATTAATGGCAGTATATACATATCGGCTGCTGAGATTGTTGTACACACAGAAATGTGTTTTTGAGAATTTTTATATGAAACTTGATGAACTTGATGGGCATCCTTCTTTGCGATTACTTTTTGAAGAGTTGGATTAATGATGAAGCCTGTCTTATCTTAATATAAAAAAATAATTAAAAAAAATAAAAAATAAAGAAAAAAAAAAAAAAAAAAAAGTAGAAAAGAGACTATATTCCAAATCTGATTTGGAGTAAGTGAATGATTTTCAATTATTGCTTGAAGCTCTGAAAGTGATCCTTAACAATAATAGAGTTGGCTCTTTGTGCTCATTCTTCATTCAAAGCTTGTAGGATATGAAATGAAAGCTCTAGGTGGTTTCTCATGAATCGTTCTCATCATGATTAACCTGGTCTACTTTCTTTAAAGGGGTGGGATCTGTTACTTGTTGAACAATATCTATTATGCATTGGTTTACCCCTGACCTTGCCAATCCAAACCCAAGCCTCTGCATATTTAAACAATAACCGACAAGTTGTTGCTCTTCATGGTTAGTTAAAACTTTGGCTAGGCCTGAACGATCAAGAGAGCCATCATTTTTAATAGCATGTCTGAAAGTGGTTTCTGGGATGCTATATTTTTTTGCAAGACTTCTATAACTTGGTGATTTAGGATTAGTTTGAGAGTCATTAAGTTCTTTAAGAGCACTTGAAATTGCATTTTGTTTTACTAATCAGTTACTATGTGATGACATTTTTTTTTTTAAATAAGCTTACAGGTTTATAGAATATACAATGTCTATTTATAAGATTTAGACTATTGTTATCTTTATTAATTAAGGATGCGTAAAAAGGTATAATTTAGCTACATTACTATTTATCTATTCATTAACACATAACATTTTTTTTTTTACTTTTTACTACCTTTTATTATGAGGCTTGTTGTATATTTGCACAAATAATATCTATGCACTTTATATCAAAATAACATGCATTAATATTATCTATACAAATATGATGTGATACTTAACCCCAAGACGATATAAAATAAATTAAAGAAGGTTAGTCTACAAAGTTATCATAGATATATTGTTCTGCTGGTCATTTATCAAGATCAATATCATGCATTTATTCACTAATTTTAAGAAGAGTTGTTCGAAATTCAAATTTTGAACAATCACTATATTCAAATAGCCAAATTTAAAGCCTTTGTCCTTTAGCTAACTCCAACATAATTATACCAAACCTATAAATATCTACTGCTGATATAAATTTTTTAATCTTACAAATAGGATTGCTGGTGCAGTTATAATCCTAATAGTGTGCCATTGGTACACCAATAAGACTTTTTGGTGCATAGCATGCCATTAGGTGCACCATTATATTATATTGTCTACCTTAACCAAATTATGCTTGTACATATTTATGCATTAATATTCTCAAGTGTCTCAATCAATGGGTTAGAAATATGCTGGGAATTAAATTTTAATTAGCAAGAAAATATTTATAATCAACCAATTGAGCTTGTCATTAAGATAAGTAAGATAGTTTTTTATGTAAAAAAAAAATAAGTTTAAATAATAAAAAATGAACAATGAGTTTACCATTTCAGCTAAAAAACTTAAACTGTCATTTTTTTTCAAACCTTTATAAATATTAAAGTGAATAAAGTATTTCTTTGCATTTTCATATTTTTTTTTATAGATTTATTATCAACTCACATTTTTTATAAAATTTTCAATAAACTACTTAGATGGTGCACCATTGGCATTGCCAAGTGCCTTGCACTAGCAACCATACTTACAAAACTTCAGGATTCTTCACCCCCTTCTATTAATGATACCAAATCAGAAATAATAAAATAAATATTTGTAATGCATTCAAATAAATATTTTTATATGTGAATCGAAGCTCATGCATTATAAAAAAGCTGTTATTAAAATGAGAATTTATATACACTCGAATTTAGAGATTTAGGCAATTTTTATTAACTGGCATCTCATTGTATGCAGTGTTATAAATTCAAAAAATTTTTATTACTGCAAACAACAAAAAAATGTGAACAAAAAAAAAATTTATACGTGCACTATATAAGTTATCTGATATATGTGCAAATTTAAATCCATATACACTGTGCCTACTGCATAAACCCAATTTATTGTATGATGCTGCACCAAATTGTGATTAATATATGAATAAATACTGCCAATATTAATTAGCAAAAAATTATCTATATCTCTCCAAACTTTAATATTTTATAAAATTTGACTCAAAAAACAATTTTACATTATGTAAGCTTTTATTTATTTAATAAATAATCCTATATAAAATTACAATCATTAGTGTTTGTTAAATGCCTTTGCTAAATAGAACTTAAAAAAACAGTCAAGTAATGATATTTCATGAACCAGTGGTTAGAATCAAATGATTTTAACATCATTTGATTTATCTTAACGAGACGAATCGATTGGTGCCAAAATCATATAATTCTGATCACTGGATCGTGAAATATCGTAGATGTGCCACAATACCCATATGCACCACAATACCTATATCTACCTTATATATTTTAAATTATTTTATAATTTAGATTAATTTTAAATTATTTAAATTATTTTTCAATTAGTAAAATTTTTAGTAATTTAAAATTATATATCTATGCAATAAATTATATTACTCAAGTAATAATATCAATTATATTATTAAAGATCTTTTGTATAAAAAACCAAAATTTTATACAAAAAATTAAAACTTAAAAAAATCTTTATAATAAAATTTAAGTATATTGAAAAAATAGTTTAATAATTTAAATAAAAAAATAAATAGATAATTAATAAAAATATGCAATACAAATGAACAATAAAAAATTTACATAATTAATAAAGAATGTGTAATACAATTAAATAAAAAAATAATAATAAAAAATATATGTTAAAATATAAAAAGGTTTTCAATAAAATAAACTTGTATTTTTAATTTGTTTAATTATATAAAGTTTTATAGTCATATTAATATAAATAATTTAAAATTATGTTGCTTTCTCATATTTGAATTTTAAGTTATATAAGTTATTAAGATTTGTAATTATAGTTAAACAATAATTATATTTATTTTGATTTATAAATAGTGATTGGTTTCCTTTATTGAATAAAAACTTTTAATATTTGATCAAAGATTTCTTACATCAAAAGATTATAATTTTCCATTTTAAAAATTAATAAAAAAAAACAGTTATATTTATTGATAAAATTAAATATTTGAAAAGTTTGATTTATTTTTTATTTTGATTTAGCATTAATTAATTTAATATATGTAATAATTCTGAGTTTTAAATTTTTATTAAGTTTTTAAACCAAGTAATGACCTTTTTTTAAGTATTAGATATGACAAATAAGTACTAACTAATTAATTTGTATAAATAAATTAGTTAATGCTTATTCATCACACAAAAATTGGTTACATCTGATTATTAAATTTTGAGTATTGCACTGTCATAAAATAACAAATAATTATATAATAAATAAGTTCTAACTAATTTATTTATATATAATAAAGTAATTGATACATATTTGTTACTCAATAAATAATTATACTAATTTGTAAATTTTATATTTTATTAAAAATTAAGCTGGGTTATTTTAATAAATGATCTAGATTAATTCAGAATTAATCTAAATTGTAAAATGACTCAAAACATATATAATATATTTTTTATATATAATTTTTTTTATTATATATAAATTTTTTTATTAGTATTATTAACAGAATATTTTAAATACCAAGAACAGATAGATGAGGTAACTGTTTTTAAAACATTACATTATATAATAATAGAGATCTCTTAAAGTATTTACTTATGTAAAGTACTTTAAAAGATCTCTGTTAAAAAAGTATAACAGTGTAATAAACAATTATGCAACACTATACAGCTTTGCATATAGTACTTCTTTAAAGAAATATTTTCTTTAAATAGTATTTAGGTACTATTAAATTGTAAATTCTATTATTTTTAAAAAATACTTTAGTATTAATCAAGTTGCTAGCATTTATCATTATATTTATTCTAATGCTAATATTATAATACAAATTTAATATATTATAATTTATATAAAAGCATATAATGATAATTTTATTTATAAATTTAATATCAATACTAGCAATTATAATAATAATGCTTTTTATTTTTTTAAAAAAAAATATTATTAATTTTTTAGTTATATTTAATTACTAATTATTTTATAAATTATAATAATTTATTTTATTTTGAATATAATAATTATTATTTTTTTTTGCTTTTTTTTTTAGTATTTTTTTTTTTTTTAAATATTAATGGTGAGGCCATACCTTTAACTTTATTTAAATTTAATTGAAGTTTTTATAAAGAAAAGCTTGCTTTTAAATTACATATGAAAAATAAAGACTCAGACATATAATCTGCAAC